ATGATGCACTTCGACGTTCTAGGAAAACAAGAAAAAGCCAACTCCAAAGGCAATACTTGGCAAAAGAATCATAACACTCAGGGCAGAAGCTAATGAAACAGGCTAAAAGAATAATACATAGAAGCAATTAAACAGAGAGTTAGCTCTTTGAAAAGACAAACAAGATTGATACATTCCTAGGCAACCTAACCAAAATGAAGACTCAAATTAAAATTAAAACTTAGTGATGTAAGGGGAGTTGTTACAACAGACTCTAAAGAAATCCAGAAAATCACTAGGAATACTTTGAACATTTCTATTCCCAAAAGGTGGAAAACCTGGAGAAAATCGATAAACTTCTAAATACATGTGACCTACCAAAATTAAATCAAGGGGCTACAAACACTTAGACACAGACCAAGCAGCAATGTCTAAGAGGTGATTAAAGGGGTCCCCATGAAAACTGAGGACAGAGGGGTTCATTACTGAATACTATCAGACTTTTAAGGGAGATCAAACACAAATTCTTCTCAAACTGTTCTGAAAAAGAAAAGAAACACTACTCTATTGGTTAGGGTTTTTAATTGCTGTGACAAAAACAACATGACAGAAAAGCAAGTTGAGAAAGAAAAGGTTTATTTGGCTTACACTTCCATATCACTGTTCATTGGTGGAGGAAGTCAGGACAGAAATTTAAAAAGGTCAGGAACCTGGAGGGAGGAGCTGAGGCAGAGACAATTGAGGGGTGCTGCTTACTGGCTTGCTCCTCATGGCTTGCTCAGCCTGCTTTCTTAGAGAACCCAGGACCACCAGCCCAGGGATGGCACCACCACAATGGGCTGGGTCCTTCCCCATCAATCACTAATTAAGAAAATGCCCTACAGGCTTGCCTCCAGCCTGATCTTATGGAGGCATTTTCTCAATTGAGGCTCCCTCCTAGCTGATGATACTACCTTGTGTCAAGTTGACATAAAACTAGCCACTACTACTACCAAAGTCACTCTATGAAGCCAGCAAAACTCTGAAAACAAAAATAAATGAGAACTCATTCCATCCTGTAAATAAAAAGAAACAAAAGAAAACTATAGACTGATTTTCTTGATATCCATGAATACTAGAATTCTCAACAAAATATTAGCAAACTGAATTAAAAAAAATTACAAAGGTCATACATCATGACCAATTTGATTTCATACCAAATGAAAGGTTGGCATAAATCAGTAAATGTAATATGTTGCTTGAATAGATATAATGACAGAAATCACATAAGTATCTCAATAGACACATAAAGGACAACTGAAAAAATTCAGTGTGCCTTCTTGATTAAAGTCCTGAAGAAATTAGAAATAGAGGGACACAACTCAACATAATAAAGGATACATACGACAAACCTATAACCAACATCACGCTAAATGGAAAAAAACTCAAGACCTTCCCACTAAGTTCAGTAACAAGATGAAAGTGCTCACTTTTCATCCAATGTAGAGCTGGAAGTTGTAGCTAGAGCAATGAGACAAGAGAAGGATAGAAAATAAATACAAACAGAAAGGGGAGTAGTCAATATAGCCCTATTTGCAGATGATATGATTCTATACATAAGATACCCTAAAGATTCCACCAGAAAACTCCCTAGAGCTGATAAACACATTTAGAACAGTGGCAGGACACAAAATTAACAGATGGAAAGCAGTAGCTTTCCTGTATACCAGTGGCAAACGTGCTGAGAAGGAAATCAGGGCCACCATCCCGTTCACAATAGTCTAAAAAAGAAAAAGTTCTTTGGATTAAACTTAACTGGGGAACTGAAGGCCCTTTACAATGAAAACAGGGAAGCACTGAAGAGATTGAGGCAGACACTAGACAGTGAAAAACTTCTGGATACTCCATGGACAGAAGATTCAATCTTATAAAAATGGCCATCTTTACAAGGACCATCTACAGAGTCAGCATGATCACAGCAAAACTTCAAAGAAATTAAAAAAAAAAAACCTTTCAGAATTAATGTGGAAACACAAAAGACACCACCAAGTCAAAGTGATCCTGAGCAAAGAGAGTAACATTAGATGCACTGAAAGACCTAATTTCAAGTTATGTTACAGAGCCGTAATAATTAAAACAGAATGGCACTGTCACAAAATCAGGTAAGTGAATAAATGGGTTAGAATTGAGGATCCAGATAAAACTCCACACAACTACAGACACCAGATTGTTGACCAAGAGGCCAAAAGTGCACACTGGAGAAAAGATAGTGTCATCAAGAAATGGTGCTCAGAACACTGGATATCTACCTGTGGAGGGATGAAACTAGATCCTTATTTCTCATCCTGCACAGAAATCAACTGCAAATGGATCAAAGACCTCAACATAAGACCTGAAGCACTAGAGGAAAAAGTTTAAGTAGTACATATCAAGATATAAGCATGGGTGCAGAGTTTCTGAACAGGACTCCAGTCAGCAGGAAATGAGATCAACAATTGACTAATGGGAACTCATAAAATGAAAAAGCTTCTGTGTTACAAAGAAAAGTGTCGAGTGAAGAGGCCACCTGCCCAATGAGAAAAAAACCTTCAAGAGCGACTCATCTGACAGAGGATTAATAGGTGGCACATACAGAGAATTAAAAGAATAACAACCAATGTAAAAACCAATACTAGAGAGACTTCCCCAAGAGAAACAACAGAAATGGGTACATTTTTTTTAAATTTTTCAACACCTTTAGCTATGTAGGCCAATTAAAACTACTTTGAGATTTCATTTTTTATCATTGTCCCAATGGTTATCATCAAGAAAACAAACGACAACAAATGCTGGTGAGGTGTGAGGAAAAGGGACCCCATATTCACTGTTGGTGGGAGTCTATACTGGTGCAGCCATCGTGGAGATCAATATAGAGGCTTCTTAAAAAGGAAAAATAGAATTTCCAAATGACCCATCAATCACACTCCTTGGCATCTATCCAAAACACTCTAGACCACTGCAGAGAGATACTTGCACACCCGCAGTCATTCTTGCTCTACTCACAATATGTAGGGCATGGAACCAGCCTAGATATCACCAACCAATCAATGGATAATGAGATTGTAGTATGTATATACAGTGGAATTTTATTTAGCTATAAAGACAAATAAAATCATTACATTTGTGAGAAAATGGATGGAATGGGAGAACATTATACTGAGTGAAGTAATGTGCCCAGAAAGCCAAAAACAACATGTTGTCTTTCATATGCAGATTCTAGCTTCAAATTCTTAGATTGGTATGTTTAACTTGAAATTCCTATAGCCAGGAAGCTTAGGAAGGAACTACTAGGGGAAGAAGGGAAAAAAGAGGCCTTAAGTGGGGACATAGTAGAATATATGTATATGAAAGTCGAGGGAAAATATTAAGGATGGAAAGGTTTAAGTGGAGATTGGGGTGGAAGAGGAGAGGAGAGGAAAGCGTGGAGTAAGGTTAGTCAAAACTAAGTATACTCAAAAAATGTCATATGGAAATTTATTATTTGGTGAATCTATTTTAAATTATACTTTTTTTAAAGTTTAAATGAAGGTGCTTTAAATGGGTGGGTGATGCCCTGCCTGAAGCCACAGATTGCTGAACAAAACTCCCAGTGATGGATAGGAGACACTTCACTAGGAGCTGTTGGTCATTAGAGGTCCCAGAGGACACAGAGTTCCCTCTCAACAAGGTGAGTGCCATTGCTCTTGGTTGCCCACCACAAGTAGATGGTAAGCCCCATCTGCTCACGCCATCACACACTTGGTTTTAGGAAGTAGAGAGGTCTGGCTGGAACTGAGCTGGAAGGCTATGTTCTAGCTCCCATGGTGCCAGAACTATGTCAGATGCTGGGGAAGAGGTCATCAATAGTCTTACATAGCTCTAATCTCTGAAAATGCAACATCAACCTTTCAAGCCAACGGATGCACTGGTGCGATAGTGGTATGACTATTATGGGGTTAACCAACCCACTATATGACTGAATTTAAGACTCACTCCCTGGGAGGGAACTTATATCTGATATTGTAAACCTAGTCAAAAACTTGTGACTGGAGAGGTCATATACCCCAAGGCCCATGGAATTAATAGCATCGGTCTTAGCTTATAGTGTGTTGAGTTGTTCATTTGCTAAATGATAATGTGTTTGTATCCATAGATTAGTGCTGTTCTTGGACTTGGTCAAAGAAGCTTCTTTTTTACGGTGGGCATTGGTTAATGTAAACACTAATAATTGGTCACTGTGCTGAGAATAAGTCATTCGTAGTGTTCAGCCCTAAATGTTACAACTATATCACTCCTTCCAAGGCTCAGTGAACATTGTGGAAGAGGAAGCAGAAAGAATGTAAGAGCTGGAGGACAGAAATGCGCCACAAACAATGGCTTCTAGATACGTCATGCCATCTCACTCATGAACTCACCAGAACTGTGGTTACCTGCACAAGACTGGGCCTGTCAACATTTAATCATGTGTAGAGGAAGGGCTTGTGATGTCCCCTGGGGAACTATTAGTGGTTACCAGTCGCTGGGAGAAGGTATCATTTTTCTTTAGTAGTGTGACTGCTGATAAGTTGCCCATGCTTCAGTAAATAACCACTCCACCCATGCTCATGCAAGCAATCCTAATTAAACTCAGTGGGCCGCAAAAAAAAATTAAGTTTAAAGAAAAAAAGATAACCATGGAAGTAGGAGGGAACTTGTTGAGGATACTTTGAGAGGGAGAGGAGGGAGGATGAAAAGGGGGCATTAGGGAGTTAGAAAAAGAATAATAAAAGAAAGAAGGAAACGAAACAAAATCCTTGTTGGGAGGAGGGATTCTTCCGGAAAGGAACGTGTTGACAAGATGGGAATGAACACATCCATAACTAAAGATTTCTTTACATTATTTTAAATGAATTAATCCTTAGAAATAAAATTCCCTCTTCAGAAGAGTAAGAAAATACTACACAATCTCAATTACAGGGGAGCAGAAAACTGTGTCTGTGGCTATTATTGTCACATAATACCAATTACTTCAAAAATTCACTAACCTGTAAATGTGAACCTTTCTTCCTGACAGTTTGGTGGGGAGAAATAGAAACAGGAAGCATGGTACAGTCAAACATCCTAAAAAGAGGGAAGAAAAGTCATTAAGGAAATGGTTTTATTAGCATGGACATGACATTAAGTTGAAATGTATTCAATTATCAATGCTCAAGTTTTTAAAAACCTTTGAAAGCAGTAATTTCCTGTGATTCCATCTGCTGCAGGAAGCCTCTTGGGAGACAGTCCTCTACTGACCTCCTTTTCTCGGACATCCTGTTGATGATGCTAAGAATGCTGGGAAGACCACTCCTTACGGGGTCAGCTGTCTGTCTTCAGCAAGCAAGCAACCCGGTGGTTAGTGTAATGAGCAAGGATCTGTGAGATGGAGATCAGGCTCACTGGCTGCTTGGACCCAAGCTCAGTGCTCAGAGAGAGAGCAAATCTCTCTGTATATGGCACTGGGCTTCACGGCATCATCTTGTTGAGACTAGAGTGCAAGACATGGATGTAAATATGCCCGAGTCTGTGTTCATGGATGTCCTGTGAGAAAGAAAAAATGGCCTTGGCTTTGACTTTGACCCAGGAATTTCATGGCCTCTAACACCCATGAAAATAACAAAATAATTTAACTTTAAAGAAGGGTCAAAATCAAATCCCAGCATAAAAAAAAAAAAAACATAGTACAGGCTACTCTCAAGATTATAGATTATAGGCATTGAACTATTATATAGATCTCTCAGTGATTATTTAGAACCAGGAGTCTGAAAATAACCTTAAGAAAAACTTTCCATCATCTCTCCAACCTTATCCTTTAGGATCCTTTCACAAGAAGTGAAAAGCTGCAGGGAGAGACAAAAAACAGGCCATGGCCCCTGAGCTTCTCTCTTAGACACCATTTCATTTTTCTAGGCAAGGGATCCTACAGTACGCAGACATCCAAATCATTTTATTTTTAAAAATCACAGGCACTAACGCATGGGGGCTACATCTCAGGCAATGACCTGAGATTCTAAGCATGACTGCCTGCTTGCCTCTTGAGTGTAGCATCGAGTGGGTCACATCAGCTTCCTTCTTTTCTAGGCTGACCATTGATGAAAACTAACTGGTCCTCCCATCCATCCCCACCCCCTAACAATGCCACCATTGTGGAGTTGGCATTTTTATGTAAATCTCCGCTCCTTGATTCATGCAACGCCATTGCCCTTGACATTTCCTTTCTGACCCTTATCAGCCGCACACCAGGAAAACATGGAGAAGTAAAGGGGACAAAGAAGGGCAACAAAGACGTTACAACCAGGAAGTGGATTGTGACTGTGGCCAACAAGGAAATTTGGAAACGGGTGACTAAACACGGAGGCCATCCTGTCAGCCTGTCACAGCTGCATTTACTTGTTCAAAGCCTGTCAAATGCTTAGCACCATTTCAAGGTGTCACTCCGAGATACATAGGGAATGACAGTCTTGGAGGCTGCTTAAAGAGCACTTGAAATTTAATGGACGAGCCAAGGTAGTTAAGTGCCTAGATAGCCTCAAACATACAAGCTGGCCCTTTTCGCTCTCCACTCTGTTTCTTCATAGCACGTGGAATATTTAGTTTACTTCTTTGTGTTTTTGCTGTATTGCTTCCACTAAGCTGGGATTTGCCCTGGATGAGACAGTGTGTCCGTTCCAATTACTCATGGCTGCTATTTGGATCTCACTCACTGTAATATGAAATCCAAACGCGTGTGGATCATGCCTATCTTAGCCACCATTGTGAACTCCTAGCCATTCAAAACACACCTAGGAGATTCTAAAATAATAATAATAATTAATTAATAAACAGAACAATTAGATAAATATTTAAAGCTAGAAGCAACTCTAGAGACAAATTATATAATCCATTTTCTAGATGCTGCTACTAACCCATGGATAAAAAGGATCAAAGGCACAAGCAGATTTCTAAAGCACTGAGATGGTACCGACTAAAACCAGGCCCAAGGAACTTACTTGTGCTTCCTTTCCTTAGTGAATATTGAGATCATAAATTCAAAATAATAAGTAGAACACAGACCCTGGTCAGCTGGTTTCTAATTAGATTCCGAGCACAGTGGGGTTCTTCTGCACAACACACAGAATCGTAAAACTCGGAGTTGAATGTGTGTCCCTGCTGAGCTGTCTCACCTCCAAAGCTAAACCATGAAGCTCAGGGCTGTGACACTCAGCACCAAGTAGAGTGCTTTCAATGAAGACCCCAGGTTTTCAGCATGCCTCACATTGCGCTTGGCCCCACCCATTGACTCTTACTCAGACAAGTAAAGTCCTTCATTCAATGGTGTCATGGTTAGGTTTCTATTGCTGTGATAAAACACACGAGTCGAAGCAACTTGGGGAGGAAAAGGCTTATTTCCCTCCTCATACTTCCATGTCACAGTCCATCACCAAAGGAAGTCAGAGCAGGAACTCAGGGCAGCAATCTGGAGGCAAGGGCTGGAGCAGAGAGCATAGAGGCATGCTGTTGACTGTCTTGCTTCTCCTAGTTTATATCTATATCTATATCTATCTATCTATCTATCTATCTATCTATCTATCTATCTATCTATCTATATATTCCTATAGGACCACCTGCCCCAGGACAGCACTGCTCACAATGTGCTGGGCCATCCCCCTCAGTCATCAATCAAGAAAATGCCCTACAGACTTACCTACAGGCCGATCATACAGAGACATTTTCTCGACTAAGATTCCATCTTCCCAGATGACCCTACCATGTGTCTAGTTAACATAAAAATCTAGCCAGCACAAATAGGCTGTTAACAAGTGTGATGTAGTCAGAGGTTTGAATAGTATCTGTAGGCTGGGGCTTGATCCCCTCCTGCAGGTCAGGCCAAACTGGCTGAAAGAAATAGGGAGTATGAATATAGCCCTCATCCAAGTTCAGACTGAGCCTGATCAACCAGCTGCCTGCCACTTAGCTCAGATGCATCAGTGAGCACCACCAGATCAGCAGAATTTTCTCACTGGTGTCCAGGTGCATGCACCACTGAATTTTAAAAGGGTTTAGTTTATAGCTTTGTGCTTGTAATAGCTAAGTAGTACAATATTCTTCTAGAGCAATAAAAATTAATTACCAGCAAAACAAATGTTTAAAATGCTAACATGACCCTTTATTAGAATAGAGAGTATTTTTAATTTCATGGTTTGGTTTCTGTACAACAACACGTACCTTCACCTCAACCATATTCCCATCACCGAGATGAAGCAGGCCAAGGCAGGCGGCACTTGGGGGAGAGCTGTGAGGAAGCACACCGTGGTCAGTGCCAAGATTGTGGTTGTCGCCTCCCTGGCACTGTGGGTGAGTCAGTAGCTCTCACACACACACCATCACGGAGTGTGAGCATAGCTTCCATGGTCTCCTCACGTGTGGGCTGGATCAGAGCTTCAGGCAGGAAAAAAACCCCTGGGTCCCATTGTCCCTCAGCTCAAATGTGCGTGCGAAGGGGATCCCAATGTCTCGAGCCCAGTCTTCTGAGGATCCTGACGTAGCATCTGTAGATGAAGAAAAGGAGAGAAATGGAGAAATCAGGCTTTGAAAGTGGGGGTTCCATCGCCATTCCAGGGAATAAAGGGGTCTTCGTAAAATGAAGGCATTGTCCCTGATCGGGACCCCTCTGTCCTGGGTAAACAGCCTGTATTGTATTTGGCGCCTTGCTTTTCCGTGTGCCTGGAACATAGCGAAGACTTAAAGTTTCTCAACAGATTAAAAAAAAAAATATATGAAGCAGCCTCAAACTGCAAGGCAAGAATGAATGGGCTAATTCTCAGAAAGGAATTTCAAAAGAAAAACAAATCTCAAATGAATCACAGGAAAATTAGGACACAAATATTAGGTAGGTGGGCCCCAGGGGCTCCGGGGGTGGGGGGCATGCTCTAGGCTGGGAGAAGTACTGCGCCCTCCTTCAGCTGAACTTTTCCTTTTGACTCTTTCCCTAGTCTTGCCCTGATGTGCCTTCCTGGCAGGTGGATCCTCTGGGACTGTAATCAACTGACCAAGACTTAAAGGACAATACCCTTCCTGTTAACTCCTGTGCCTTCTAACTAGCCAGCTCTTTTTAACTCAAGCCAGGGAAAACTCTGGTTTGAGCCAGTGTATCAATTGTTTTTCCTTTGCACTCATACTTTATCCCTAGAGAGTACAGTACTGAATCACACAGTCTTCCTTTGATCCTTGGTCCTTTCGATTCGTCCAGCTCTCTGTGGGTCGCAGGAACTCCTGCTCTTGGGCCCATCTCGCCATCTCGGCTTCATTGATTTCTTCTGTGCCTTAGATACCATTAAAAAAGTAGTCTTACATAAAATATCTGCACTCGATCCAGCTCTATAATTGGTTCCATGCTTTGCTTTCAATACATCTGCCGCCTTCTGTCCAACTTGAATCTGTAGGTGGGAGATGCCAAGAGAGTCGGTTTTATTTTAAAATAAACCCGACGATCCCAGGGTTTTGTGTCTCGTACAGATCTATCCCCGAGGTTTTTAGACTGTCTCTCTAACCTCCCATTGGGCATTCATGTCCAGGTGGCCTGTTGGTACCCCCACACTAACCATACCCCCATTGCTTTCCCTTATGTCTTCCATCAATGAGGCTGTTGCTATTTCTGGTCTTGCATATGACTACAGCACACATGTAAAGTCCTGTAGATATCTTTAGCTCCTTTATTTTCCCCTTCAAAGTCACCAACGTGGATTTTCATTGCTGTTACTCCTTGTCAGACTCATTACCTCGGAATTGCGGTAATGTTGTGTCTTCTAACACACTTCCCTTCCTCCCACCAGTCTTTATCCCAGTTGATCCCACATGGCTTCCAGATGCATCTGTGTTCACGGTCCTGATGAAAAGCTTTCAGTATCTACTCATGGCCCTCAGAATGAAATACAGGCTGCCTAGCCTAGATTTTGAGATTCTCTATAATGTGGTCCTAATCTACCTTTCCAATACTGTAATCTACCTTTCCAATACTGTAATCTATCTCTCCAATACTGTATCCTGTCCCCTTACCCTACATTGTAATGAAACAGGAGCCTCCTAACTGTTCTTTGGATGCGCACCATGTTCCCCAGCTTCCCGCTCTGTCTCAAGATCTTCCCTCGACCTAGAATCTCCACCTATTGACCGAACCTTGAGGGACTTGCCCAAATGGTTTTTCTCCAACTTCTCCATCCATCCGTCCTTTCCTGATGTCTCTCTACTGGATTCTCTTTCCTCCCGCCTTGTCTCTTTCACGGCCCTTTGTTCATTGCCTCTTACGGTTTTACCTCTTTGTTTTTCTTACAGATTTTTGATACATCTCTGTATTTTCATGTCTCCTGATTCTACAGGAAATCTCTCCAAACTAGAAGATCTGTCAGGTCTCAGTCTTCCTTTCTGTGAATTCTTTCCTGAGACCAGTCATGATTGAAGGCCAACACTTATTGGACTTCTGCTAAGTCCTGTGTTTACTGACCTCCTGATAAATCTTTTTAAATAGTCTGTTGATAGACCTAAGTATTTCTGATTCCAGACATCCCAACATGACAGTCTGTCCTCCAGGTACCACATCCCACAGCATCTCCTCTGAGTCTACCCAGACACCACCAAAACCTCTTGTCCCCTGACAGCACTATGGCATTGGTCCTAGATATCAGGCTGCACTTAGAGGTGTATCATGTCCCCTGACTCTCTCAGCTAGTAATGGCCTAATTTTAGACACCCTCTTTCTCCTTTCCTTTTCTGTAATTCACAGCTGAGTGCTAAAATGCAACAGAGAGGTGTTTGAATAGAGGTGGGAGGAGCCCAGAGAAATTCCAAGGAATTAAGCAGGCAGCAAGTGGTGGTAGTGAGGTCACCAGCAGTATCCTTTAGGTACTTGAGACTTTCTGCATGTGCTACACACACACACACACACACACACACACACACACACACACACACACACACACCACGCACACACACTTGAACACATTTGCAAGCTTCTTACTTCTCTCCCCTCACTGCTGGGAATTCTGCCTTTTTTCACTCACCGATTCTTTCTCTTTTCACTTAAAAACGGTTCTGAGTCTGTCTCAGTTCCTGACTTTGTGTGGCCGAGAACAGAGAAAGGGGTAGGAAAACGCCGACAAAATGCAAGGCGTAAAGCAGTCGCATCATTGACACTGGGAAGAGGACGTCGTGAGAGGAAAAGTTCTGCTAAGAAAATGAGAGTGGCCAGGGGAAGGACTCAGGGAGCCGCCGTGTGTCATCCAGGAAGCTGAGAGCGGTTCTGGGGACAGGGACTTAGCGGCTACACTCACTTGTGAAAATCATCTAGCAAAGAAATAAATTGTTCCTAATCACTTTCAATTCACATGTGCCCCTGTCCTTCCCTGGATGGAATTCCATGCCAACTGGTCTGAGAGGGTCCTATTCGCTATTTATGTCACGTGAATCAGCTTTAAGCCACATTTTTCATCCAAATTACTCCTCAATTTTTTTTTTTTTAATTTCCGAAGCTCACCCCAAACAACTATCTCATGACCAGCCTTTACTTATCATATTCTCTTCAAATCTGAGCTGTGGGATAGCAAACTCATTTTCCCTAGGATTTTTCCTCATTATTAATTACTGTGAAGAAGTAGAAAAACAGAATTTTGATTCTCTCTCATAGACAGATTTGGTCCTTTCTGAGAAGACAAAACAGAAACGCCACAGATTTCTTTGTATTGTTTTGTTTAATTTTTGTTTTTATTTTTGTGTGTTTGTTTTCATCTTTTTAAACTTTTTTTTATTTGTTCTTTGTGTCTTTCAAATCGTTCATCTCCCTGTCCTCTTGTATCCATCCTCTGCCCTGGCAACCTCTCCCCCAAAATAAAATAAATAAAATTTAAGAGAAAAAAAAAAGAAAAATCTCATCATGGAAGCTGCCGTGTGACATATTGACTCATGCAGTATACCCTTATATTCATATATCTTCACTTGCAAGTGTTCATTGCAAAGGGTCGTTGGTCTATTTGAGGCCTCTGGTTTCTGCTACGCTATCCATACTGGGTCCTCACTGGGACTCCTCTTGGACATCCTGTTGTTGTCCTGTGTCATGGAGGGAGACCCTGCAGCTCTGGGTCTGCAGGACCGGCCCCTTCACATTTAATATTTCTTTGAGACAGGGTCTTACTGTGTAACTCTAGTTGGCCTGGACTTGATTTATAAACCAAGCTGGCCTTGAACTCACAGAGATCCACCTGGCTCTGCCGCCTGAGTGTTAGAATTAAAGGTGTGTGCCACCAGACCCAACCCTCCTTGGATTGCTTCATCTCAGGGTGGAGCTCCGGACTAGACTTTTCTCTTGAACTGCACTGAGGGGCCAGAGAAAGCTGTTATGTTTGTGTCCATCTTTGCTACTTAAAGATGCTTGTAGCATGAATCTTAAAGAGTCTTATTAATAAAATCAAACCTGAGGCCAGTTATTGGGGTGAATACTGGAAGATCAGAGAGACAGAACAAGCCACAGCTAACCTCACCTGGCCAACTTCTCAGCTGGTCTTGTTTCCTCAGACTGGAAGCCTCTGAGTCCTCATCCAGAATGGGTCTCAGCTGAACTGCTGCTAGAAGCCTGAAAGCTTAACCAGGCATGCTTAACCAGGCCAAATGCTTCTAGTTTCTGGTCCTCACGCCTTATATACCTTTCTGCTTTCTACCATCACTCCCTGGGATTAAAGGCTCACTTTCTGGGATTAAAGGCGTGTGTCACCATGCCTGGCCGTTTCCAATGTGACCTTGAACTCACAGAGATCCAGAGGGATTTCTACCTCTGGAGTGCTAGGATTAAAGGTGTGAGTGCCATTTTCTAGCCTTTGTATCTAGTGGCTGTTCTGTCTCTGACCCCAGATAAGTTTATTAGGGTGCACAATATTTTGGGGAATACAATACCACCACAGATGCTCTCTAGAAAAAATGATAAAACCTACTTTCCAGTGGAACATGATATATTGCTAAAGCCCTCTAGACCGCTCAACAGCTCTTTCCTTGGGCTGTAAGGACATATTTACAAGCAGACGCACAAATTCTTTGATGGAAGGCCCTGACGTGTGGAAGAAGAGACAGCTTGAGATGGAGTACGACTGTAAATAGTTCCAGCATGTAAAACATTAAAATTCTGATAGGTGTTCTAATTTCAAAAGCAGTTTATAAAGTGGATGCACACACACACACACACACACACACACACACACACACACACACACACACACATACACACACTCCTGCTTCTTCTAAGTAGTGACTGCCAAGGTGTCCCTCATGCAGTATTATATTTACCATGGCTCTAAAAAGCTTTGGTTTTGTAAATATAGAGTCACTGTAAATAGTTCTAGAAATGGAAATCTCCTTGGATCAAGGGGCTTGGTTCAGTGTAGCGCACAGTGGTACAGCTTCTCCCCAGGAACCCGAAAACACTGCCAAGATTCAGTAAGATTAACACAGAGTGCAAAATTTTCATATTTCCTATCAAAAAGTTTGAAGATGAATGCTTATGCTTACTCTTCAGCACCTAAGACTGCGAAAGACACAGGAAAAGTTTACTGGTTTCTGTGTGTGGAACCAATGCTTTACCAATATTTTCATGTTAGAATCACTTTCCAGCAGTTCCTAGGCTACTGATCCAAGCCTCTCTCTCATACCCTCTTAGCCTGTGGCCACAGGGCTCTAACATGGGCCATCCACAAGAGAGCCTCTGACTTTTGGGTACAGATCATCTAATATGTGTATTCCTGCACCAAAGGGAATGACGTTCCCATGAAAAAATATTGAGGTATTATATTGAAAGATGATACCATCCATGAAGACCTTTCCATTGGTGGAAGACACCTTCCCACTGAAGATTTACAATGTCCCAATGTCCCTGGAGATTCATCTGGCTTTGTGACAGTTCTCTCAAAGAGAGAAGAAGTCTATAATGACTATCACAGAAGCTGGGGAATGAGACTAGCTCTGGGCTTCATAACTAACATCCACATCTCTGCAAATTTCTCTATCAAAGGAAAAAGTGCCAGGGATTATGACTGAGGACGAAAGAGCACATGGTTGACTGGAAATCTAAATTGATTAATGGCTTCAGAAAGTCAAAAATCCTTTCTAAGCAGAGAGAGGCTTTGTGGGGATGATAGGAATGCTTCAAGCATGTGGAGGACCAACCCAGAATCCACCATGCTCTCTCTGGGGGGTTTCTGGGAATGTAGCTAACTCAAGCTCTATTTATATATTCCCAAAGTGAGTGTATTACATCATCACAAGAATCAAATGAGATAATGGCTTTAAAATCCCTTTGTGAGTTGTAATAATCCAAGCAAATGTTAGGTATTTCTACATATTTCAAAATGACCGTATAGTATGAATTTTTGTAACCGCGGAAGGAGAAAATGACTTTGAGAAAGGTATTTAGGCATTGCTGGGTATTTTTGACTACTGGGGACTCTCTTCAGCAAAGGTCTTTAGGGGGTTATCTTTTAGTTCTTGCCTGTACCGTATGGATTGTGCTCCAGTGGGAAAAGGATAGGAGATGTAAAATAACCAAGAGGTCACCTGGCCTCTTTAATAACAACAGGGTATGACTTGCCCTCATCTACCCTGTCATCTGCACATGATGAGGACCCTCTTTTTAAAAATTAAGTTTTTTCTTTAAATAATAATAACAGACATTGGCAAGACTATGGAGCAGTGTGAGCTTGTGCACTGTAGGTAGATATTTTAAATAGTACAACCAATATGGAAAGCAGTAGATCAAACTTCAAAATCAAAAGTAGAATTACCATGTAAGCCAGAAACTATACTTCTAGGTATGTCCAGAAGAAATGACAGAGGTATCTTGTTGAGAAACCTGTGCAGCTATATTCTTAGCAGCCCTGGGCAGAAAGGTAGGACAAACCCAAATGCCCACTGATGGGTAGACAAACAGAACATGATATATACACACAGTGGAATATTACTTGCTCTTAAAAATGAAGGAAATGCTGATCTGGAGAGATGGTTTGGCGGTTAAAGGCTTACAACCAAAAGGACAAGAAAGGAAATTCTGACATATCCTACAGGAGATGCACACCAAGGATATTGCGCTGAAGTGAATAAGCTAGCCCTAAAAAGACAAATCCTTTACTATTCCACTGATGTGAGGCATCTAACGAGTCACATTCACAGGTTCGGAAAGAAAACTGGTGTTTGCCACAACTGGGCATAGAGGGAAATGGGGGATGTCATGTGATGGGTACCAGGTATGTGCAATAAGACAGTCCTGGGGGTTGGTACCCAACGCTGAAGATTCTGAACTCCACACCTCAAAATGGTTGCCATTGTATGTTTATGCTAAGTGTATTTTACCATAATTAAAATAGAAAAAAACACCTCAGTTAATATTACTCAATATTACAACAATTCTGCACTCGCTCTCCCTTCGATATGTGACTCTGGTCCTCAGATTCACAAAAGGGCAAAGAGCCTAGTTCCTTGCAGCGAGCCTGCCCACCTGAGTTTGAGTAAGCACAGCTTCAGGGAAGAACCTGGAAAAAAACAAAAACAAAAAACAGAGCACAAGCTCCTTGCCCTGGCTTGCATCCGCACGGCACTTCCTCTTACAAATATTCCTGGGCAAATGGCGCAAGAAGAGTCGAGAAGAAAACACAGCACTGTGCTTAGTAGAAAAGAGAGCAGATATTATTTAGCCGTGTTATTTTAGACATGCCATATTCCACTAACAGCTGGCAAGCTGTTTAGGCATGGTTCAAAAGCTGTAATAGCTGAATGGAGCTTCGACATAACGCACAGAAAGGAGAGCGCATTTCTGCAGATTATTAACATAATCATCTCATTTATATTATAGCCAAACACCTAAGATGTCTCCCAACTTGACACTTCATGAAACAGGTAGTTAATTAGCGTAGGTAAAGCAGCATTTAACCTAGAGTCTTCCCGGCAGGCATCTGGCAAGGTATAAAAAGCAGGAAAAAGAAAATAAGGATGGCGGGGGGGGGGGGGGGGGGGGGGGGGGATGAAGAATGGAGCCAAAATCCCTTGGAAATGAAAATCAGAGGAAGGAAGGCAGTGGCCCTGTGGAGGTTTGTCTAGAGGCCTTGGCACTTTGGACTCACGAGTTCTTCGTAGTTACTTGGTTTATTTTTGGTGTAGCCATATGGTGTGAGGATGAGCTGCCCATAAGAGTGCACGGTCAGGAAGCACGGGATGTCTCTTTTTCCTTGCTTTCTCTACGGCTTGAGACTGTTTTAGTCTCTAGTTGTGACACCAGTTCTATCCCACAGAACGTTAAATCTTGGCAGTTTGTTATTGCGCCCATACCTGGGAAATACAGGAGGTCACGGAAACACGTCGTAATCTCAGTTTACAAATGAGCCAGGGTGAATAGCAAACCTTGCTCAGGGTATGCCAGGCCTGTCCGTGGCTGTCAAGTCCGTCCCATAAGTTAATCAACTGCATAGTCACTAAAGTGGCCACCTGATGAGGAGCTTAGAAAGGCATGAGGGCTGGCCTGAAGAGCTAGACTTCAACTGCGCAAACTCCATCCTTTTGTGGCTCAGAAGGGAAAATGCAAAATGAAATGGCAGTGTGCTAATCTATTCTTAAACCTGTGGTGAACCGGGGGCGTCAGGGGCAGGGCGACTGGGAATCAAATATTAGACTTCTGCAGGGCGGTGGTGGCGCACGCCTTTAATCCCAGCACTTGGGAGGCAGAGCCAGGTGGATCTCTGTGAGTTCGAGGCCAGCCTGGTCTACAGAGCGAGATCCAGGACAGGCACCAAAGCTACACAGAGAAACTCTGTCTCGAAAAAACAAAACAAAACAAAAATCAGATTTCTATGGCAGCTTCTCACAGATTTGTCAGCCACATCTTGCTTACCGGTTTCTGTCCTATCAGAGCTATTTTGTAAGTACCCAGGCAGTCTGCCCACAATAAAAATAGTAAAGTCCCCTACATGTTAGACCAGTGACCCTCCTATGTGGCATCAGATTTAACCCACATCATGGACTTTGGTTAAAATGGGATTATGTGACCAATGTTCTAAATACAAAAAACAAACAAACAAACAAACAAACAAAACTCCACTGAGATGAAGCATTTTTTCTTTCAAGACCACCAAGCAATGAGGACCGCATCTTAATCCTTGCCGTTCAGAGAGAGCCAGTGTTCTTACCCACCCCTGATTCTTCATCTGCTTCCAGTGCTTTGAGTGTATCTAGATTTGCAGACACAGAAGTGCTGTAAGGAGAAGGAAATATTTACTCTGCTTGCTGTCTGCCTCCTCCTGCTGTAAAAAAAATACCCAAAGACAGCACTCTGGCTTTAATCTGCTTGATGGTGAGCTATATATCTTAAAACCAAGTGATGGCTTAAAACATACCCTGACTGTTTATGCTGGCTAGTTTTATGTCAATTTGATACAAGCTAAAGTCATCTGAGAAGAGGGAACCTCAATTAAGAAAATGTCACCACAGGCTGGAGAGATGGCTCAGCGGTTAAGAAAATGCCTCAGTAAGATCGGGCTGTAAGCAGTCCTGTCGGGTATTTTCTTAATTAGTGATGGATGTAGGAGGACCCAGCCCATTGTGGATGGTGCCATCCCTGGGCTGGTGGTCCTGGGTTCTATAAGAAAGCAGGCTGAGCAAGCCAGTAAGCAGCACCCCTCTATGGCCTCTGCATCAGCTCCTGTTTGAGTTCCTGTTCTGACTTTCTTCCATGATGAACAGTGATATGGGAGCATAAGCCAAATAAACCCTTTCCTCTCCAACTTGCTTTTTAGTCATGGTATTTCACCACAGCACTAGAAATAGACCTAAGACCTAAGACATTGGTTTAGGTCTATTCTGTCCTGGTTTAGCCAATCTCATTTGAAGAGAGTTCTGCCCTTGAATACTGTATAGATGATACCATCTCTTTAAAGGAAATAAAAGTAGTCAGAATGCTCAAGAAGCTATATGGGTTTTTCAAAGATGGTTATGTTTAGTAAGCCACCATGCTTCTCAGCCCTTGGTCGTAGTTATCATCAGTTTATCTACTGAGCAGGTATTTACCACACCAGGAGACACTGAGATTTCAATTGAGATTTGTTCCAAAGCATGTGCCATTATTACGGAATGAGCAGGGCTTCCTCCAGAGAGGATCCTGAAACAGAGGCACTGAGAGATGTTGACACGCAGAGGCTTCATAAATCAGTGTCAGTGAGGACAGGTGGCCCTCGAACATAGAAAACACTTCCTAGAACTATCTGAAAAAAAAAAAAAAGCCTTTATCGTTGTAAAATTTGTGTGTAGGTGAATTTTAGTTTTGCAGAGAGGCCAGCAACACCCAATATTAGGAACATCTGTGCAAACTAAAGTGAACAGATGTGTAAGCCATCCAATTGAGGGCTAGTTTGCCCTTTCATTTCTGAGTAGATAAGCTAGGTCTATGGACACGATCTTACTCATAGAAGCTTTGGTTACATTTTGAGATTGAGTTATTCCAAATGTCAGGCAAACAGCTTGACCAATGGGAAAGGCATTCCAGGTATAGCAGAAATGTTTTTGTTTGTTTGTCTTGTTTTTTTTTTTTTGTTTTTGTTGTTGTTTTTTGCTTTGTTTGCATTTTTTTAAGAAGACTGCTAAGTGGAAATGCAGGTAAAGACAAGTGTCACCAGGAAAGTTTATGGGGGTGGGGGGAGACTTAATTCACACACAAGGCCAGAATGACTGAAGGGGTCTAGAGAGCTTTGGAGAGGGATGGAGGAGGGGAAAGAGGGAGTGATTTCTAGAAAGGGGGAACTCTGAGACGTGATGGAGGAGAGGAAGAAAGTGTTCTCTAGAAAAGTGCTCTCATTCAGAGAGTAATGTGCTTTATCAATGCTGTATGGAGAAACTTTTCCGCTATTTACTACATTACAAGCCTGAGACATTTAACCTTCTGAATGATCACATTGAAAATCAGGTTAGTTTAGTACTTAGATGCTGTTTGTTCCCTGCCTCATGCTTCTAGAACTGATCTGAGGTATGTGATTTATATATCAATACAATACTAATCAGGTAGTAGGCAAATCATAAACACTAAGAAGATGCCAGAAGGAAGTCCAAATGGAGAACTGGGTAGATGGAAAACCATAAATGAGACCCACCCTAGACTCTAATGCTAAGGAGGAATTAGGCTTCCACATCCTAACATTGACTTTGATTTAAAAATGATCAGATGGGGCTTCTTTCTTTACATGGCTATAAAAGATTTTCATAGCTAGAATGGCTGACATCAGAAGAACAACCATAGTAGGGCTTCAGTACCTGAACACAGCTTCTGGCCCACACACACTGTTCACCCTGTTGTCCAAGTGTAGATGTAACTGTCAATGTTGAGGAGTGGAGGCACATAGAAGTCCAACTCCTTAAGGGGCCTGAGCCTTGTGTTGTCTTTATCATTCTGTAGAATCTGGAAGTTAAAACAGAAACATCTAGAATGACTCTTGTTGTGGGATAATCTTTTTGTACACTGTGAAGATGTATCTCTGCTAAGGCATCTTCTGATTGGTTTGATAAAGAGCTGAATGGCCAATAGCTAGGCAGGAGAAGATAGACACAGGACTTCCAGGAAGAGATAGGAACTCTGGGAAGTAGAGAGGTAGAAAATTCGACAGCTAGACACAGGGAAGTTGGATGTACAGTATGGAGTAGAGGTAACAGCAGAATGTAAATTAATATAAATGGGTTAATTTAAGTTATAAGAGCTAGTTGGGAACATGCCTAAACTAAGGCCAAGCTTTCATAATTAATAAGAAGTCTCCATGTCATTATTTGGGAGCTGGCAGTCCAAAGAAAGTCCTGAGGGAAAAATCTTTCTTTTCTAATTTTCTATAAATTTCAACTAAATTACAATAGATGACTGCCATCACAATTTCAGCCTCCAGCTCCTCCTTAACTGTCTTAGTCTTTTATAGTAGTGGCTCTCAAATTTGACTGCAAACAGAATCACCTGACAGACCTGTTGACGCACTGGTGTGGGTGTGGAGGTACACCTGTAACCCCAGCACTCTGGAGACAGAACAAGGCTTTTTAAGACCTCAAGTTCATGGACTACATAGTGAGTTTGGAATCACCCTGGGCTAAATAGTGAGACGTTGTCTCAAAACAGCAACAAAACACTGACGGCCCTACTCCTCTGTCCTCCTCCCTGGCTCCTTGAAAGTTTATAATTCACTAGGGGTGAGATGGAGTTAATTTGTATTTCTCCCAGTTGACATTTCGGCTGTCGGTCTTAGGAATGACTCCTCCCGGGTTATTTTTTTTTTGTATTTGTGTTTCTCAAAAGATTAACAAAAATATATCGTTTTAAACGTTGTCTTATTCCCTAAAGGGGAGAGAAGAAATATAGGAAAACTCAAAAACTCACCACACTACGTGTTTCCCATATGGGAAATCTCTTGCCCCACACAGCAGACACCTGGGTGATTATTTCCAAGCTCCCTTAATAGAAGAGAAACTTGGTGAAATGTTTCTCTCAGTGTTGGAAATTTTTTTGCCAATAGTATTTGACAGGATTCAATATTATCTCTGATTTCCAATATGCGTCTTCTTCTCTACACTTAGGTAGGTTTACCTTCCAATAAAAATAATTTTGGAGCCAGGCAGTGGTGGCACACGCCTTTAATCCCAGCACTTGGGAGGCAGAGCCAGGCGGATCTCTGTGAGTTTGAGGCCAGCCTGGGCTACAGAGTGAGTTCCAGGAAAGGCGCAAAGCTACACAGAGAAACCTTGTCTTGAAAAATAAAATAAAATAAATAAAAAATAAAAATAAAAAAATTGGGTGCAGTGGAATGGAGTTAAGATATTCAGTTTTTGGCAAGGCTACTCACTAATTCCATTTCACTCAAAGTAAGGGACGAATTCAGTACAGTCAACGGTTAATGGGAAAGAAGCGCTCTGCTAAGGAGCTTGGCAGTGACAGGTACTCAATGACGTGATTTAGCGTTATGAGGAAACTGAAGACACTTACCTCTTTCACAAACCATTGGCAAAAAAGCAAAGGGCAATCCATTCTCTGGCATGAATTCCACAGTCCATCCAAATGATCTTCTTGGGACTGTTGGATGGTTTGCTGATCTGGGGTGTGGGGGGGACATTCAGGCTCCATAACCAAATGCTCGCTATTGTAAGAAACTGCAAAGCCACCATGTTTCATTCCCCCACAGTGCCCTTTCTTACTTCCCACTGGGGTTCGGGGATGGTGGCAAGGATTCTAGTGAAGATACCCACCAGTGTGGTCCTTTCCTCTCCTACCTTGTTCTCCTGCCCACTGCCTTGATGGTTGTTCTTAGGACTGGACACTGATTCCCCATTCAAAGAGTCATTCCCCCCTGCATCCTAAAGCAAATAAAAGCGAAGTCAATAGTGGCTTTCACCTGACAGACACGTTCAACACTGGGTATGGTGACACATGCCCCTAATCCCAGCACTCTGGAGAAAGGCGAGGCAAAAGGACCTCAAGTTTAAGTCAACTGCACTACAAGCTAAGAGGCTAAATGTATACACGGCTTCTATGTTTCTAGGCTTTATACACATAGCTCACCCAGAGAGGCAAAGCATGTATCAGCTGTGATGTTCAAGAATCAAAAGTATTTCTAAATGAATCAAACCTTCACTCAAACTTCCCCAAACTATAAGTAGATCAAAGTTCGTACCCTGTGCTGTGCTTATTAAATTCTCCAGCTCCTCCTCCACCCATAGCCACCCCCATCTTCTTCCTTCCCTGCCCATCTGCCCTCTTCCTAGAAGTGGGTGGGGATTACACTATTTTAAGTTCTCTCTGGTGGAGAAGGGCTCTAAACAGTCCCAGGCTATAACAGCTGTATCTGTCTTGGATCTGTTAATGGCCTACCCCAGGCTATATGTCAGTCTTGGAAACTGAACTGACTTTCCCTCTGTCTGGTGGAAGATCCACCTCAACTCCCCTCCCCTATCTCTTTCCCTAAACCCGCCCCTTCAAAGCCTGCCAAACACAGCTCTTCCCCAGAGAGGCTCAAGACCACTCCCACAGGGTATATAAGCTGCATCCCAGAAAACAGACACGTGGTTCTTCCAGTCTCTCGTCCGGTCTCCTCCCTGCAGGCCCAGGATCACCTGGGAACGCTTTACACATTAAACCGGGCCTTTTCCTAATTTGGTCTGATTTGGATTGTTGCTTTGGCAGAGAGGCCTATCAGGGTGCAAAAACCTGTCACCCTCCACATAAGATACTTACAAGCTGAGGCAAAGGCATGGCTGGGGTTGTCAGAGTCAAGGGACTTTCTTCTTGCAGCTTCCCCTGTCCCTCAAGGTTTCCAGGACAGTTCCTGACGGCCCCCTCACCCCCAATTTTCTTCTAAAATTACCCTTTGAAGACCATTGTTTTGTCGGGGATGACGGCATAGGCATATATTCCAAGTTATTTGTGAGAATATGTCTGACATAAAACATAGTCAAAAGGGATGGGGATGCAGCTCGGTGGTAGACAGCTTGCTTAGTGTGTGAAAGATGGCAGCTGTGTCCCCTGTACGACAGAAATGGGGGAGGGGAATAAGGAGAGAAGGGGGAAAGAAAGGTTACTGTTTTAGTGCAGTTAGGCTGACCTGGGAGCTTTCAAGGCATGTCATGCCCTATCTTAGAACAATCAGGCCATCTCCTTGCGAGGGACTGAGATAGAGGGGTCATTTGGCCGCACTCCACAGGTGATTTTAATGTCCAGTCAGGATAGAAATTCCCTGATCTGGACCTAAAAGCTTAGAAATTCTGGCCCTATGGAAGAGTGACAGACCCCAGACATTATTTATTTATTTATTTATTTATTTATTTTTACCACACAAAGAAGTAAGAGAACTGGGGCACTAACTACCTCTTTGGTTATACGATTATCTGGTTACGGGACCTTGACCTTGTATTAATCACCTTACTTCTGTAGGGTTGTTTCCTCTGTGGTAAAGCCACAGAATAATAAATGAAGGCTTTCTGTGTTTTAAAACAATTTTAGGAGTGTGTGTGTCGGGGGTTCTCTTTCTAAAACAAAACATTTGGACTAACAAGATGGCTCTGCAGGAAAAGATACTTGCCCCCCACCCTGTTAACCTGAGTCTGATCTCCAAAACTTACATACATAGAGGAAGAAGAGAACCAGCTCCTGGAAGTTGTCCTTGGTGGTCTACAAGCATGCCCAGGCACATGAAGGGGAGGGGAGGGGAGAGGAGGGGAAGGGAGGGGAAGAGAGGGGAGAGGAGAGGAGGGGAGAAGATAAAGAAAAAACCACCAACAATAACAAAGAACAGAGGAGATGAAAAATGAGCCAATTCTAACGAATCCTTATGGAGTGATCCACTCATGGGTTCTCCTTCGTTTGGATCCTGTCATGCCTCAGAACCCTAGCTCTATGAAGCGGGTGTGGGCAAAAGCCCAGTTTGGTGGAAAAGGCTCTTTGAACTCTCCTGCAGTTCTGACAGAGCCCCTGCAGTGCCTTCTGACTGGGCAGATTCTGCCCTAAGGTCAGGCTCAGTCTCGGCACTCACCTTCAGGTAGGACGTGGGCCAGGTCTCAGAGGTCATTCCCGGAAACGCTGTGTCGCCACTTCCGCATACTTCTTGCTGACCTGGTTCATCCACTGATAGATCTAAACTGATCCAAAGGACCACGCTGTGACCAGGCTCACGAGGCAGGTGATCAGGCTCACGAGGCAGGTTGCTTGATTGTCTCCAGTTGAGATAAACGTTCTTTCACTCTGACCCAGAACTCTGCACGCTGCTCTAGACTGCGAAAGTCACGTGACAAGCAAACCAGAGAACTAAAGCCATGATTTATGATCTCGCACCTATCACTTCCTTTCAAGACCTCCTGGGCCACCAAGGACCCCCCCCCCAACCCACCCCATGGACCTTTACAAACAAGTAATTGAGGATGAACAGTTTTGATAATCCACCAGTGACCCTTCAGAGGCTGTGTACAATAGCACACCCTTCACACAGCCATCAGAATTAGCCTTCCTGTGCCACACACAATTTTTTTTTTTAAAGTAGGATCATCTTTCCTCCTTAGGAGCATAAGAGCTATGGACGGATGTTCTTTCTGCCATAGAGGTTCATTTGGCTTGGCCCCTAGTATAGCAATGTGGACGGTTACAGAACCTTGAAGAAGTGTGTGTGTGTGTGTGTGTGTGTGTGTGTGTGTGTGTGTGTGTGTGGTGGTGGTGGTGGTGGTGGTGGTGGTGGTGGTAGGTCCTTAGGTCATTTGAATCCCTGTCTTACACAGGGAATACTGGTCTCCTGGAGTAAGTGTTCTTGAGAGTGAACTGAGATAAGGTTTGGAGCCTGACGCCAGCAGTTCCCTCTGGCTTCCTGATTGATGATATTTTTGCCATCCACCCTGAGTCGATGCAGCTGAGGTAGGTGGTCCTCACCAGAGGGTGACCCAAACTGTTTGGACTTTCAGCTTCCCAAACTGTGAGTTAATTAAAGCACTTTTGCTTATAAAGTTGTCCTGCTTTGGGTATTTCATTAGAGCAATGAAAAGTAGATTAATAGACCAATAGCATCCTTTGCTAATGTTCTAAGATTGGACAACACCCATGTATGCCCTTCCCAGAACCTGCTTACTGAAGTTTCTAAGTCAGACCCATGTTAATAATTTTGATTAAACTTAATAGCCCTGAATAGATCTGATTTAATTATAGATCATATATATCAAGCTTTGAAGGAATCTTATACCATGACTAATAAATCTATAACTGGGATTCCATAAGAGCAAATGCAGTAAAAAATGAAGACAAATGAAGGCAGCCATTAGCATGTCTCAGGACACATGACACCTGAGTTTCTATGTAGCTGACCTTGGACAATTCAGAACTACAGGAAATAGTAGTTCACTGGAGAAAACACATTATTTTTAAAATTTAAATCTTAATTGGCATAGAGACTATGGAGAAAACTTGTTAGTACCTTAATAAATACTTGACTAAGGGCAGTTTCAGTTCAATCTGTCCACTATGGAAGAATAGTACTTCATGGCACAGGTACTGTAAGCATCTGTGATGGGCCAGAGAAGGACACAGATAGCCAAATCTCAATAAAGCTACAAACGGCAACAACGGGAAGTGGCAGGTGTATGATTACTTATTGCCTAGTCGGTGGTAATGCAATCAACTTTATGTATCATTGTCACAATGCTTTAAGATAGACGTTACTATTCCAGTCTCAAAGATGAAGAAACTAAGAATTAAAGAGATTAAGTAAGTGCCTTTATCAAGGTCCCATAGTCAGCAAGTAGCCGAGCCAGTGTGATCCTATCATGGAAACCAGATGTCTTCATTACTCTTCCTGTTGCTGTGATAAAAACAAACAAACAAACAAACACCACTCAGACAAAAGCAATTTAACGGAGAAAGGACTTATTTGGGTCACAGTTTGAAGTACATTCGATGGTGACAGAGAAATACTGAAGGTAGGGCTTGGTATCTGGCTACCTTGTGTCCACAATCAGGAGGAAGAGAGTGATAAATCCTGTGCTCCTGTTCCATGCACTCCAGGACTCAAGACCAGGGACTGCTGTCTTCCCTTAGGGTGGATCCTCCCACCTCAGTTAATCTAATCAAGACCCTCAGGCATGCCCAGAGGCTAACCTAATCTAAATAACCCCTCACAGGCATGCCCAGGGGCTAACCTAATCTAAATAACCCCTCACAGGCATGCCCAGAGACTAACCTAGTCTTAATAACCCTCACAGGTATGCTGGCAGCTTGTCTCCCAGGTGATTCCTATCAAGTTGTCAACACTGACCGTCACACCAGATCATCAGGTTTCCGTGGGCATACAGCATCTTGTTCAAAGCCCCAGAGCCAACAGTTCTTTGAGGTAATGTCTACAGGGGAAAGTGTAAATTCTTTTCAGGATTCTGAACAATTATTCTGGAAAAAATAATATTATATCCTCAAATGCAGAGAGTATAAATTGGTAAAATCTATTTGGAAGGCAGTTTGTGCATTTATGTACACCTTTTAGATATGTGTATCGTTTGATCCAACCACTCTATACCAAAAAAAAAAAGTGTGTGGTATCATTATAGGCATACACACAAAAGCCATTTCTTTTCCACTATCTACTCTCGGAAGTCACTAAGCATCTTCACAGCATTACAAATGCGTCTTTGCAGAAGGCTTTTGCTCTGAGAACTACTGTGGAACCCCTGGATCCAGCAAGGAAAAACAACATTTTCAGCTAAACAGGAGCCACTGAGGACCCATCTCTCCTTGTGTTCCACACTCACACAGGTGCCATCTCTGTGCTTCTCAAATCTGCTAAGGACACAGCAAACCCAAAAAAGTGTTCATTACCTTTCATGTTCAAATTAGGCACCTGGGACTGTTCCCTTCCCTTTTCTTTGTGTTATTAATTTGTCTTTTTATTTCATTTACCAGGTTTTGTAGTTTCTGTGGTGGCGCTAATGGTGGAGGGAGCGATGTTTGGAAATCCCTTCAACTTAGCAAACAGGCAAATCGTCAGCTCACAGTTTGAGCCAATCTAGTTTGTGAATATTAATATTAAAAGTAATCCATCCTGATATATCCTAAAGCAACATCATCCTTCATACTGTGTGTCCTCACTCACCTCTCCCATGGGGAGATATCTCTCATAAAAATAGGTCTCAAGGCTCCTCTGTGGACGGACAACCTCTTATCTGTGCTGTGCTGAGGATCTTGAATAGAAAGAAAGATATGAAATAGTGAAGACATCAGGACTTCCTGAGGAATAGAAGACTGATTTAAAAGGTCACAAAGAGGCTGGAGAGATGGCTATAAGGTCAGAAGCATTTAATTCTCTAGCAAAAGACCAGAGTTCAATGCCCAGCACTCACATCAGATAGCTCACAATTGACTTATAACTTCAGCGCTAGGTGATCTGACTCTCTCTTCTGGCTTCCATGAGCACTTACACACACGCATGTGTGCATGCATGCATATACACACACAAATATTTTTTAAAAATATAAAACTTCAAATGTCATAGAAGGCAGTGCACACAGGATTTGTAGTTCCAAAGCCAATGTTGAAATTATAGCTCTGTGATTTACCTGCTATGATATCTCAGGCAACTATTTAGCCACTGTGAAATGCAGTTTCTCTGTCTGCAGAGTGAGGACAATCATGTCAACCTTGCAGGGAGGCTAGAATAACTCAATAAGGCATTGAAGATAAAAAGCACTTGTAAGTTTGTAAAAGATGTAATAGCTAAGATTTATTGAGCTGAAACTTTTTATGAGACAAGCACCACTCTACATAATTTAATTACCATTTACTCCTCTCTAAAATGTTGAGATAGATTTCTTTTTAACCTCTGTTTCAGAGATAAGGAAACCAGATCCCAAGGAAAGTGTTAACTGGACCCGAACCCTGGCAAGCTGATTTAAGAGCCTCTAATATTAACCACTGCTGTACATGTGTGGGGAGAATGAACCCCTATGCAGCAGCTGCAGCCAATGACTCTCCATTGAGACATCATCACCCAAAGTCATATTAGGATTCATTCTTAGTGTTGTATATTCTATGGGGGTTGACAGGTGTTTGATGTCCAGTGTAAACCAGTCTAGTATCATACAGAGTGATTTTAGTTCCTAACTGTCCTCTGGACTTTGCTCATCCATCCTTCCATTTTCCAACCCTTGGTAATTACTTCTCATCACTTAATCTGCATCATTCTACATTTCCCAGAATATTTATAGCTGGGGTCACACTGTGCAGGCTTTCCCGACTGATTTTTTTTTTGCTTACTAATATGTGTCTTAGTTACTTTTCTATTGTGATGAGACACTGTGACCATGGCAACTTATAAAAGGAAGCATTTAATTGGGTGCTTGTTTACAGTTTCAGAGGATGAGTCCATGACCATCATGGCATCAGGCAGGCAGGCCTGGTGCTGGAGCAGTAGCTGAGAGTTTACATGTTGTGACAACAACCATGAGGCAGAGAGTAAGCCAACTAGAATGGTGTGGTCTTTTTGAAGCCCAAAGCCTACCCCTTCTGACACACCTCCTCCAATAAGGCCACACCTCCCAATCCTTCTCAAACAGTTCCACCAACCAGGAAACAAGCATTCACATATATGAGCCTTTGGGGCCTTTCTCATTCAAACCACCACAATATGCTTAAGTTTCTTCTGTATCTTTTCACAGCTTTGGTAGCTCCTTTCTCAGTGCTGGACAACATTCTTTTCTCTGGATATGCCACAGTTTGCCCATTCATATGTTGAAAGACACCATGGTAACTTCCTATATTAGCAGTTATGAACAAAGCTGCCATAAACACACACGTGACTGATTTTGTGCAGATGTGTTCCTAGTTCATTTGGGTAAAAACTAAGGAGTACAATTGTTGAACCATATGATAAACATATTTTTTTTTTTCTGTAAGAAACTGATAAACCACTGTCCAAAATTGGTGGAGATAGTTTTGCATTTCCATCAGCAACAAGTGAGTTCTGGTTATTCTACATCCTCACTAGCCTTTGATGCTGGCCTTCTAGATGTGGGCTGCTGTAGCAGACTGTAGTGCATCTGGTAGTTTGAATTTGCAATTTTCTGGTGACAGACAAGATAGAGCATCTTTTCCTAGGTTCCTCAACTCATTGTGTTTTCTTTGATGAGGCATCATTAGGGCCACATTATACTTACATGTCCTTTTATTAATGTTTGAGTTTCAGTGTTCTTTATATATTTTGGATCACATTCTTTCTTCAGATGTCTCTTTCATAAATATTTTATCTCAGTTTCTGTCTTCTGGTTTTCTTGACACTTTCTTTCAAAGAGTTAGAAGCTTATACATTTATTAAAGTTTGGCTTATCAATTTTTTTCATGGGTTGAGCCTTCCCTGGTGTGTCTAAAATGTCAACGTCATACTTAGAGACATCTAAACTTTCTAGTCCATCTTCTAGAATTTTATAGTTTTGTATTTAAAAGTTAAGTAGAGTACTTTGCGTGTGTGTGCGCGCGCGCGCGCGCACACACACACGCACGCACGCGCGCGCACATACACATGTAGATGAAATGAGAGTGCATGTGTGTGTATACATGTGCATGAAGACCAGAGGTCAACTTTGGCTGTCATCCTCAATAATATTGTCCTCCACCTTGGAGATGAGATAAGGTCTGTCATTGGCCTAGAGATTTCCAGTTAGGATAGATAGGCAAGCGAGGCCCAGGGACCTGTCTGTCTCTGTCTTCCCAGAGCTGGGATGGCAGGGGCTTGCCACCATCCAGCATTTTGGGCTAGGTTCTGAGGATCAAACTAAGGTCCTCATGCGTGGCAAGCACTTACAGACTGAGCCACCCTCCCGTCCTGGTGACATATTTTTGAGTTACTCTCTCTGCTCTCTCTGTTCTGTATGTGAGTGCCTGGTTCTTCTAGCACTCTCTGTTGCAAAGAGTTTTTGCTCTGTTGCATTATCTTTCTCCTATGTCCAGATCAATTGGCTATGTGCATGTGGGCCTGTGTCTGGGCTCCCTGTTCTCTTCTCCTGATCTATTTGTTTATTCTTTCGTCAATACCACACTGTCTGACGACTGTAAGGTTACAGTAAATCTGAACGAAGGTAAAGTCAGGCTTCTGACTTCATTCTCCTGCAATACTGGGTTGGCTATTCAGTGTCTTTTATTTGTCCACAAATCTTTAGAATCAGTTTGTCAATAATCACAAAATAATTCCCTAAGATTTTGTTTGGGGTTGCATGGTGTATATAAATAAAATTCGGAAGAGTTGATATCCAGACAATACTGAGTCTTCCTTCACGTGACCATAAATATTCTCCCATTCATTTACTTCCTTGGTGCCTTTCGTTTAAGTTCCTTACATTTCCCTGAAGAGATGTATCACAAATATTTCATTCTGGGCACACTAGTATGTGGTTTTTTTTTTTTTTTTTTTTTTTTTTCTGATTTCAAGTTCTACTCGCTCTTTACTATGTATAGGAAATCAATGGGCTTTCCTATGTCAGCCAGCTGGCTCTGATGGGTTCTTGGTTCCAGGATGATTGTTGTTGATTCTGTTTTTCTACCTGTCTATTCACGTTCCCTTTAAACACGTGCAGTTTTATGTATACCTTCCTAAGCTATATGCCATTTGCTGCCTTTTCCTGTTATATTGCTTTAGCTAGACCTGCAGGAGCTCTATTGGAAAAGAGCAGTGAGTGTAGACCCTGTGCAGAAAGGACTGATCTCTCTGTGAAAGCTTCCAGGTCCTTGCCTTTAAGGATAACATTAGCTGCAGATGTGTGCTGGGTGCTGTGAAAACCTTTTGTAGACCTACTGATAAGATGCTATGACTCCCCTTCCTCAGCCTGTGGAGGTGATGGAATGTTGAACCAGCTCTGTATGATTGGGCTAAACCCCCTTCAGCCAGGATATACAGTTGTTTTTATCCAAAGGTAGGCTGCATTGGTTGGTATTTTTTGAGGAGTCTTCTGAGTTTATGAAGGCTATCAGTCTGTACTTTTCTTTCCTTGCAAGGTCTTTGTCTGACTTGGGGTATTAGATAAATGCTGTCCTGTAGGCTGGGTTAGGAAGTTTTCTCTCTACCCCTAACTTCTAGAAATAATTGTGGATAACTGGTATAACTTCTGCTTAAATGTTTGATAGGAACCAGTAAGCCAGCCAGGGCTGTTGTTTTCTGCTGTGGGTTAATCATAGCTTCAGGGGTTTTTGTTGTTGTTGCTTTGTGTATTTTTTGTTGTATTCTTTTTGTTTTGTTTTGTTTAAACAGCTACAGTATTGTTTTAACTGTCTACTTAGGATTTATCTTTCAGCAAACAGTTTATTAACCCCGTTCGGTGCTCACTTTATTTCAGGCATTAGGCTAGCACCTACAAAACCAAACACTTGTACAGTTTATAATTCAGTTCTCATTTTAACCCTATGAAGTGTGATCCGTAGCAAACAAGAAAACAGAGCAGGAGAAGAAAGTAAGTCACTTGCAAAGTGACTCATTAGCTAATAAGGAGCTGGTAAGTCATGGAGTTAGTCATTTGGTGAATGTTCCTAGCTAAAAGGCTTTATTGAACAAAGACCAGGGGTTTGACTGTTCATTGGAGATCACACTGATAATCCATTTACTTAATAAATATGTATGGGACAAATACTTTGTTGATAGCACTGATGTGTCAGCTTTAGGAGAAGCTGTGATGCAAATTTCTGCCTAGGGATGGCTCGTGCAGGGGAACTTGGACAGCTAATTAACCAGTGTTCTGGTGACTTTCATCTTTTCCCCACATTTTTGAGCTTCTATCTTATTGTGTCTCTTCCTTCTTGAGCCTTTGTTTCTTTCTCTGTAAAGTGATAAGAATAATAGCGCTTTTTCAAAGGGCTCTTATGAGAAGTACATAAGTTAATCCGTGTTTAGCAATGAGAACCCTCTCTTGTTGTGGGACACCCCTAACAACCAAGCGGTAAGCACACAGGAGTTCGAATGAAACACAGCACACACTGTATTTAGCTGCCATAATATTAAAAGCAAAAAGCACAAAGATTAATTTAGCCATTCAATAGGTAGTCTTCTTTTTATAAAATGTTTTTAATTGAAATAGAATTACATCACTTCCTCCTCCCTTTCCCTTTCGTCCCTCTAGCTCTCCCTCCTCCCTTTCCTCCCTCTAGCTCTTCCTCCTCCCT